TCGGGGCAACAGGGGAATGACATGATCGCTGCCGTCTCCGAGACGCTGCCGAGTCCTGTATCGCTGCGTGGCGAGTGCCCGAGGAGTCGCACAGGGCTCTTCGGACCTTTCGGTCAAACGTTAAAACATGGACTGAACAAGCTTTGAAAACCAGCGTCGGAGGTTCCTGAGCTTTCGTAGGGTTGCAGAGTTGTTTGGGATGTGGGGCAAGGAACAGATTCATGCTTTCTGCTTTCCCTGCGTGTGAGCTAGAAGGGAAGGGATGGAACAGGAGCTCTGTTTTCACTGCCTCACACTGGCCATCATAGCTCACTGCCAATACAAATCAGATCCCTCCCAACCAAGAAAATGGGAAATCTTGTGACTTGGAGGGAACATCTCTGGGGAAATCCCTAGACAAAGCCACCCTAAACACGGTGGCTTGCTCAGGTCTGTGCTGAAAATCCCAGTCCAGACTGAACAGTCTATCACTCTTGGTTAAAGTATCCCAGATGAAAAGACACATTTTTACAAAATGGTTTTAATACTGTTTTCTCCCCAAAAAATCATTACCTCCTTCAACTTCTCAGCAAGTATGAGCCTCACAGCTCTCCTGCCTCCTCTGGAATTACTAGGTCATTGCAGACATCAACATTAATGAAGAGGTGAAAGATTCAGTAGAAAGGCAAAATCTTACTGGAAAAATATTTCTTAATATCAAAAGCAATTCAAGAATAGTGAATATATATAGCAGAATAATAAAAAAATGCAAACTTCCTGATGCTTAAAACAATACGCACGAAGGACACAAGACTTTAGGGTTCTTTTTTTCTCTAAAATACCAATCCACTTTAAAAAGTGACTGTTTCCATGTGCTTCTGGGGATTTACAGAAGTGGGACTTCTACTGTCTAAATTTTTGCAGTGCCCTAAACTCAGGTAGTTAGCCAAACTCAGCTGGTGCAGAAAGGGAGCTCTCTGCTTCTCACCTTCACTGCTGGCACAGCCGAAGTGTGCATTTGGATTTCATCCCACAGGATGGGTAGAACACGCTTCCCTGTGTGCCCATCCACGAGCACCCTGCTACTTAGCGCTGAGGAAAGGGCAGAATGGTTACGGCTAACTTGGAGTTGCCTTTGAGCGGGGATGAAAGAGGAGGAAAAGTGGTTGGGGTTAAAAGAAAATTAATACATTTTCAAAGTAAGTTGCTAGGTGCAATTTGCAGAATCTGTAGAAAACAAAGATGTGCAGTTTCTCTGTGACACAGACTGTCATTCTTCCATAGCAGTGGCTTCTCAGCCGATGCAAACACAGGAGTAACCTGTAGCTCTGTATTCCACACCAGACCTGATACAGCAGTATCATTATATGAGGCTCTCTATTGGAAAAAATGTTTATCAGAAGCCCTCATTTAAACAGTCTTGAAACAGACACTTCTTTAGTCCTACCTGTACAGCAAGATGACCTCTTGGCAATTCAAATATAGTCTAATAGAACAGAAGAGCAACTGTTATATGGGATCCTCTCCTGTAACACTGCTAATAGAAGAAAACCCAATATTAGTTCCAATACGAATGGAGTGTTGGATTGACTGAAGAGGGAGCTTTGAAATAAATATCTAAGAAATGTTTGGATGAAATGGACATCTTTACAGACATTTGGTCTGCATTTCTGCAATGTAGATGATTAAATCCACATTGTTGGCTTCTTTCCCCTCTGCACTATGTCTTTCTTTACATCTTGCAAAAAATTTATGAACAAAGTTATTGTAAATCCGCAATGTCTGCCTTGTCACTTAGATTCTTTTCAGAAATGCTGCCTTGCCAACGCAGATATACAATCCTGTATGATTAATATTTGTTACTTATGATTCTAAATACAATAGAAGGTCACCAAAAATACCCTGCCTAAAGGAGTCTGGAGCCCTTTAAAATCTCACAGGTGATGGATCCTGAGCCTTGAGAACCGAGCTCAAAATCTTAGCAAAACACTTTTCTATGGAGGATTTCCAGTATTTCCTGCTTCTGACTACAGGTAAAGCCAAAAAGCACAAAGGTGAGTGAAAGCTACAGATCTGAAAACATGAGCTTGGATTTCAAAAGCAAACAAAGGTCAGGGAATGCCTGAACCTGTCCATAATCTTGGATCAGCCTCTAATAGGGCTATGAGTAAAACTGCAAAGTTAGGATGCAGAATGAGACTTGAATTCAGACAGAACAGACACGGTAGCGAAAACAGCTCTGTTTTCCTCTTATTCTTTCTCATATCCATCACTATATTTTATTGAGATAATTTTGGAGGCGTTGTTAGAAAAATTGAGATACTTCGGGATTCCTTCATTATCCATTGGAAGGAAGGTAGCTCGGGGATTTTCAGATTTTATAATGAAATCCTAAAGAGATGTTAATAAGACCATGCAAATCATCTTAGAAAAAGCTCATTGCACTAACAGCTCATTTTCTTTTTGGTATAAGCCCAACCATTTTTAAAGACAATTGTTTAAAAACCAGATGCAACTTGAAGACACTGAGCTCAACTGTGTTTTGTGCCTCTTCTCGCAAAACTAAAGTAAGACACATTAGAACATTTCAGGACCATGAGATTCAGCAAATTAGTGAAGATTCACAGAGACAGGAGAAATCACGACAGACCTTGAACTGGTTCACTCACCCTGCCTGAGATCTGCTGTGTGTTTGGACAATCTTCTTTAAGGAGCTAAATGTAATAAGCACAGAGCAAGAATCTGCATCTGTCTCTGTGTCCTCAATCCAAGATCCACTGCAACTGTGACTAAGCAAAGCCACTAACTGAATTACAAACCTGAAAAAAAGACAACTAAGAAGAATGTGGATTCTGTTGATTGGCGCGCTCGTAGCCAGATCATACTGAAAGTAAAGAAATCCCAGTGACCATTAATCAGACAGAAGACTTTTCACTAGAAGGGAATTTGCAGAACATTGCTAATAAGACTTCTAAACAGCCAGAGCCACGTTGACCAGCGTGCTGAGTGAAAACCAAACCAGACAGACGGAAAGACTGAGTCAATTAAAATAAATAAATAAATAGTTGCCTTAATTTAAAAACAAAATAAAAATCACAAATAACTGCGATCTCATGAAGAAATGTTTTTAACAAGCCACATGTGCTTGTGCAGACACTTCTAATCTCATTAGGTTTTTCTGGCTGCTGTTAGTGTTCCCTGAGCCAGCTGATTTCTCAGCAATGTTTTAAAGAGGCTGAGCCTTTGCCCTCCACTCCAGCCTTTGCTATAATAGCCGGTTCTAGGGGAAGACTGGGAGCCTATGGATTTTCTTCCAGGTTTTTGGAAAGTTCAGGACAAATTGACCATTGCATGCAAAACAACAGCCAACCACAAACTCCCTTCACAGTCATTTACCAACATTCTGCTCCCAGCTGGGTTAGCGTGGAAAGCGGCATAATCCCGCCAAAGCGACACGACAGCTTCAGATTGTCATCAGCATCACACAGCACAGGCTGGCTCTCCATGGTGTCCCCAGTCCCCCAGCTCTCTGGCTGCCAACAAACCTGCTGCGCGGTTCCCCTCGGTCACAGCCTGGGGTACCCCTCAAATCAGTGCAGCTCTAGCAGCTCTGATCAGAAGGGGAGCCATACCGAGTTACAGCTCAGCTTTATTTTATCTTTGAAAACCACAATAAATCCCCCCCCCCACTGAAAATCGAGAGCCATGTGCGCTGTTGTACATATCAGGGCACGCGAGTTTCATGCAGAAGAGCCGTCATTCTGAATTTCCTAAAGTAATGTGCAAATAATCACTAGCATAAAGCGGATTGTGTCAGGCAGATGCTACAGAGAGAACAAAATAATCAGTTTTAGAAAACAATCCTAATTCAGAATCACATAACCTGGATCAGTAAACCCTGGATGAGCAGGACTCAGGTGTCACACATGGATTTCTGCTAGCGTACTTGATGAATTTCTGGCTGGAAATGTGCCCCTCTCTGTTTTAGTCTGCCCTCTGTGAGGTCCTAAGAGCAAACTTCTCCTGGGGTGAGATGATGAGTGACCTGTCTGGAGCCCAACGTGAAGAAAACCCTTCTCCTGTCTGGAATTTGTGTGCAGTGACAGCTTTCTCCTGCCTATCCAAGTTTCCCAAGATAGCAATTATAAAGGAACTGGCAACCATACAGTCAGGACGACAATATCCTACGTGGTTCAGTTAGCTGTGCCAATTCCTTCTGTTTGCTGGAGTCAACATGCTGCCCCCGTTATTGCTGTGTCTGTGTGTCTCTACCACTGGGCATTTTGGCACTAGCCCCGCGCTTCCAAGGGCTGCCTGCTCAATTGCTCATTCACTGTCCTTCGCTTTAAACATTCGGATCCAACAGAATCATGCAAATTTTATGCAAAGTAGCATCTGCAAGTCTGACATATTCACTCAGGCTTCCCCCTCTTGTGCCAAGTTAAAAATAAATACCCTATAAACTCTTGGGCCTGCTAAGACAGAATATGCATTCAGAGAGGTTTTGTTAAATATAACAGCTAAGAGCATTTCTCCTTTAGGGTCAAACTCCTTTCCTCCCTACGCCTCTCATATTTTGCTCTTGCCTCAAGGATCTCAACAGCACTGGGGGGAAAAAGCATCCTTGAAATAACCTACAGAAGAACCAGTTCCATGTCTTCCCAACTTTCTTACTTGGAGTTTCAGTTAATATCTTATTTGCAAAACTCCAAAGAATACAGGGGGTGATATACCCCCAGCGTGAAACAAGGAACTAGTAAAGTGGACTTATTTTCAATACTGATTGTGAATAATACTAGTTGAGCCAGATCTTACATTCCGAATTCCAAGGGTCTCGGGTCTCCACCCCCCACACCAGAGCTGCTTTCTCTTTTCTCCAGGGAGCGGATTTGTCCCTGACCAATACACTTGAAAGGTGAAGTCATAGGGATGCCAACCAGAGAGCATAATGATAAAGTATATCTTAAGGCAACGAGGAGAAGAGTCTGCAGAAGGGGATGCTGAGCCACTGCTGAGGTGAGTTAGGACTTGCTGAGCCGCTTGGCCACGTCTGCGTAGGCTTGCTCAATTTCTTTGTCTGCCGCACAGGTGTTGGTGAACTCATCCCTGGCATAGGCGTTCTTCAGGTACCGCCACAGCCCCGTCATCTCTGTCGGGATCTCAAAGTTGCGGTACTTCTTTGCAACAATCTAAACCAAAGATAAAAGAGGGAGGGGAAAAAAAAAAAGCATCCTGCTGGTGATATATCTCCAGATTCCTTTGTAGAGAAAGTCTTACTCTTTCTTGCCATGTAATTAATAGCAAAGGAGGGAAAATGCTTGGAGACTCAGTGGCTTGCAATAAGAAAGCCTGAAAAGTGTCTTGACTGTCTCCTATCTTGCAAGGATGCTCCTTAGCCTAAGGACACTCCAAATCAGTGCCTTGGCTACCGTCACCAAATTACGACTTCTATGGTAATGAGGTTCATTAATTTCACCATATTGTTTTTGGTGTTTTTTACCAGTCTTATCTACATCACTTCTTAAAGCTGAGATGCCAAATAAGGAAGAGCTGATTAGCTGAATCATAAAAAGACAGATTTAAGGAGAAGGCATTAGTAACAATTAATATACAACATATTTTAATGTTAATTATTCTGTTTCTATATATCATTATATTACATTTTATATAAACTATATTTCTATTTTTAATACATGTAATATATTTTGCCTTGCCAATGGTGTCAGAGGGTGTAACCATCCACAGCTGTTGGAAGGCTCTATCCATGTTCATGCAAAGGAAAAATTCAGGGTGGTATGGGCACCATGATTGAGAAACCAAGATGATTTAGCAGACATTAGAAACAGGAGTATTAGGATAAATTGGGAGAGAAAATGGTTATTTCAAGACTTGTTAGACTAGGAAATTGTCTATCAAGGGAAATTTTCGATTCCTAAAAGCACTCAGGCACTTATTCAGGAAAACACTTGAGTGCCTAGTTAATTTTAAGCACCTGTATAGTCCCATTGAAGTCAGTGTGACTAATCTGCGCTTAAAGCTGGTTGGTTGGTTAAGTAGCTTGCTGGATTGGGATATTTCGGTTCTCCTGTAAGAATATACCATATAGAATAATCCTGTGGTGACAGAATGAACTAGCTGATAGGAAGGGATGGATTAGCTGATTTAATGAGTGCTTCCAATCTCTAATTTTTCTGACAGTATAAAATTGTTCCTGGGCATAAATTACATACATATGTGCCACAGGGTTCCCCTTTATTTTTAAGCACATGGTAGAGCTGTTTTCCATCTCAGATTTCTTGGGACAGTCATGTTCCCAGAAATGACTGTGATTTGGTTTTATTACCAGGATCCACTCAGTATTTGCAAGTCCAAATCCTGTCCTAAACTGCATTTAATTAAGCATTCTTGCCTCCAATGATGCTTCACACACACATGGGGAAGATAAAACCTGCTGGGCAACTTAGAGATTTTCACAATTTCCAATGCACATCTCCCATCAGATGAAAAAGTCTTAATACTTTACCCTATTATTCCATCTCTGAAATGTTTTTAAGGCAATATGCTATGCTATGCTTGCCTGAGAAAGATTTTAATTCTCTTTTGACATCTTTAATTTCATCCCAAGGAGACAGGAACCAGTAAGAGGCCATGCATGCATTTTGCATCATCCGACTCTAACATCAGCAATGAAAACAAGCCAAAGGAAGAACTGAACTTGTAAGGATATTATCACATTTCTTACCTGGTGACTTATGCACTTTTTCTGTCTTTTTTTTTTTGCATGTGTGCAGTCAGCTCCCAGGCTCAGTTTATGTTTTGGCTCTCGGAGCCAAATTAGATGCATGACTTGGCTTTAATTCCTAGCTTTCTTGCTTGCCAAGGTCTGCCAGGTACTTGCTTTATTCTAAAAAAACATGTAATCTGATAAATTAAATAAGTGCAACATTTAGAAGTCAAGATGATGTACAACATTTGCACTATACCAGCGACCGTTGTACATCTTAAATCCTGGACCTCAGCAGTGACTTTGATTTGTTAACTTCTCTGTGTGAAATACCAGATGGAACAAATATTCCTCCAAAAGATGGACTGCTGCTCTTAAGTTACAAATGGGTGGGAACTGACTAAAGCTTTGACATCTCTCTTAAGAATAATGGGAACTAATTAATATGAAATATGCAGTTACTTGCAGCAGCATAAAAATAAAGAGATGGGATACCTTGATCTGAACATTGACTTTGCCAGTTATTAGTGAGGGGACAATTTCCCCATGTACTAAATACAGACTTGCTTAAGTTAACCTATAGGAAATGTGGAGGAGCATAAGTGTTTCAGACTCTGCTCTTCTAGGACTTAAGATGCCTCTGTTGAAATACACACATTGGCTTTAGCTCACGGCTGCCGGGGCAGGGCACTTTGTTATCAGATAAAGCTCCTTTGACCATTGCATGACATCTTTTTACCTTGACAACATGGAGTTTGGGCAGAAGGTTGCAGTCAGCAAGCGTCAGGTCATCTCCATCCAGAAACTTGCGTTTAGACACTTTCTCCTCTTCAGTGCTGTCTGCATCAATCTCCTCTGGCAGAGGGGTTCTAAGATAGTCATCCAGCTTCTTCAGAGCCTTCACCAAGCCTTTTTCAAGGGCTTTGCCAAAAAGCAATGAAGAAATGATTAGGGCAGAGTAAGAACTATTTAGAAACACTCACTGTCAATGGCTACGGTAGTATCTAGGAAAAAAGCCAAGATTATTTCTTTGCTGTAAATTTGTGCTCCAATGCCTACACAGCCTGATGACAAAGCAGCCCAGCAAGGTCTGCCTGAGGGTAAAGCTCATCCTGCAATGGAAAGAGGGGACACAGGAAACTACTGTGCCATGGCTTCTTCTGACTCGCACAAAAAAACCCTCAAACCCCCCAAAAACAGTGACAGAGATCATGGAAGGAAATAACAGCTTGTCACTATGATATACCAACGAAACACATACACCCTATGATATTCTTCTGGTGTGTTGAGGCCATCACACAGTAAATTGGAGGTCTGTATGCCACTATCTGTTTTTTCTAAGCAGCCAGGTAGGGCTGTAATGAAGGGAAATTTTCTAGAATTACTTCAGCTCTAAAAAGTTGCAGTTTTACTACTTTTAAACCCCTTCCAGAGTAATTAACAGCAATAGCAATAATTACAGAGATGCTAACCAGAGCTCTAGGGAGCTGGAAGATATTTTACAACTGAAATGGAAGTAATATGATAATAATTAAATACAGCGCTACAGAAAAGAGATGAGATATTCAGCTATTTCCCCTCATTTCAGGTTGAATTTAGGTGAAAATTCTCTTTGATATGTCCCAAAATGAGTATCGCAAAGGAAGGAAGAGACTTTGGACCTCTCACTTCAATTATTAAAGGCCATGTCCCACACTGATGCTGGCTCCAACAAATTCCATGTTTAAAATGCCACTTAGACATAATATACAGCAGAGTGCAAATGTTTTACTGAAAAATATCAAGCTGGGTGAAGAATCTGCGTTCTTATGCGTTACTGTCAGGATAACAGAAAAGCTTCATTGCAATAATGCACTTAGAGAAACAGAATGGCTGTGTGGACGTTTGCATGTTATTTAAACAGCAAAAACACTGGGGCAAGAAGGGTCTTCTGCATCTCTGTTTGAAGGGTGACAACCATGATGGGGTCCTGCCCCCTGACAAGTGCCCCAAAGTGCTAAAGCAATATAAATAAGAAACAGCAAGAATTTACAATGTGAAAAAATAACAACATGACTCATGGGCTCAGGGCCAGAATTTCAGCTGGTGAAAATTACCTGCAGTGATTTATACCTGCTGCAGATCTGGCCTGGAGTCAGCATTTAAGGCCTAATCCTGTAAAATCTTATATCTCTGAGTAACTTACTGCTATTTAACTTAGGGGAGACTACTCAATGCATCAAGTTACTCTGGCAGTGTAGTACTACAAGGCCTGTGAAGATAAATATATTTATGGAGCACAAAAAGCTTCACGAGGCTGCAGCACTCGCTCCTGTGCAGAGCAGCTTGCTGGCACAGGTAGCTCCACTGGCTCTGCTGTCAGACACCACCGTGTTTTTGGCACGGAGAGAAAGGCGGTGCGTACGGGGCCACTGAGAGAGCAGGAGCTGAACACCACAGAACATGATTTCTCTGCTGCCCTAACATCCATTAAACCTTGTGCCAGTGGTGGAAGTCAGATTAAGCTGCCTGATGTCTTGCTCCCACTGAAGCCTCTTGGCCAAGCACCAGGGAACCATACCAGCTCTTTTGTGGCTAACTCTTAGACACAGTGGCAAATCCTGGCTTAATTGATTGACTGGAGAAATGACTGCAATCCAACTGAAAACACCCCAACAAATATAGCAGGGAGGGAAAGAATTTTACTTCTGAAAGCAGAGCATCTAAAGCGACTGAAGTGCTGCCATCCATAAAACAAAAGTGTTGCCATCCCTTATTTAATCAATTCAAATTGAATTTTGACACTGACGTTCTGCTGTCAGACGCTGGCAGCGGTGACTTTAATCGTCTGCAGCTGTCTCCGCCGCACAACTTCTGCTGAAGGGTAATAACTGCCTGGCGTGTAATATACCCCCATGTGGCAACGCTCAAAAGATTTAGCAATCTCTTTTTTGGTTTGACCCGTAACACCTGTTGAATAGATGGTTCTCCTTCTCTTGGTCAGCCCCAGACTATGTTCTCTTACAGTGAATTCATCTAGAGACAATGCAATCGAATTACTGCGATTTAATTCAATTTTGCACATTCAGATTTTAGAGAACTGGCTTAACGCTGAGCATTTTCCAGCATCCCCTTCACCCAGTAGGATCGTCGGTCCTTGGAGCCATCTGCACAGTGTTCCCAGCATCAGTACTCCACTGGATGCTTCATGCTGGCCCACGGGGTCAGTAAGGTGTGTGTACCAAGACAGGAGCAGCAGGTGAGATGTGTTTATGTAACTTTTCTGGAACTTATTAGGGTTGGAGGGGTTTTTTTTTGCTCTTATTGATATATCAAAGTGCGTCATGGCTGTGTCAAAAACAATGCCTGGAGTGAAGCCTATTTGTGACAGTGGGAAAAACATCTATCTGAATTCATACTTGGCACTTGCATACGGCAGCTTTAGGCCAGAAATAAGCGTATGTTCAGGGTTCAACGCATCTGTGACCTAATTCACAGGCTCTGCTGGATCCCACTGGATCCTCACACCTCCCGGTGAAATCACCGCACAGTCAGCACCGTCTCAGGTTCTGATAGTCAAGAACTGGACCACAGCTTGTGACACCAATGACCCCATTTAATTAATGACAACTCTTCCAATCCTAGTACATCTCTCACAACAGCCACGAAACTACAAGAGTAGTGAACAAGGGAGAACTGCCTTTCTTCCACCTGAATGGTGACCAGATTTGGTGCCCAGAGAAGCTGTGGATGCCCCATCCCTGGAAGTGTTCAAGGCCAGGCTGGATGAGGCTTGGAGCAACCTGGTCTAGTGGAAGGTGTCCCTGCCCATGGCAGGGGGGTTGGAACTAGATGATCTTTAAGGTCCCTTCCAACCCAAACCATTCTGTGATTCTATGAAATTTTGAAAAGTTAAAAGAACTAAGATCCTAAAATTGCCATTTCAAATGGAGTTTATGTGCACAGGGTCAGATTTCAAAAGCCTGTCAAGGTTTTTCAAGCTATTTTTTGAAATGCACATGCAAATATCCATGTTGTAAATCCCACTTTCTAGGCGCCCTGCCACATTCAGAGTCTCATGTTCCTTAAGAAGGTGCTCAGAGAAATCCCCACTTGAAGTAGGAGGATGTGTGAAAGAATCTTAAAAATATTGAAGCAAGAGGCTTCCGAGCCCCACATCTCAGAGAGCGCCAAGTGTCTAATGCTGGCACGGGTGGGAGAACCCACCTTATGTTTGACTTCACCAACGACCCCCACAAGACAGCCAAAAAGCAGGTCAGCTTTTTACTCTTACAGAACAATTTTGGGTTAAGTATTGTCATTTTACCAGTGGTACAGTGAGAGCATCTTCGTGGAAAGTGGAAGACTGAGTTTCAAATGCCTTTTCAACATGATGTCAGCCAAGATCTGCCAGATGAGACCCCCACCCCTGAAGTATTAGGTAACCTGTATGGCTTTCCTGTTAGAACTGTTTCCCTTTCCATAAATAACATTCAGTGGGTCATGACTGAAGGCTGACACCACAGGTAAAAGTCAGAAAAACTAACTCTCATTTTCTCTCTTGTCTGATCAATATATAAGCAGGGATCAAGAAATAACCTCATCAGAATAAGCTACAGCTCTGAAGGTTTGGGGACTCTTGCTGAGGAAAGACTTGTCCTATTTCATATTACTGAGCAAACCCAGCAGAAGAAAGATTTCATTCTAAACCTCCCATACTATGACTATTTTGGGAGAATCTGGATGACTCTATATGTTGTCTCCACTGAGAACATAGGGGATAGCAGGCACTCAACAGTCACAGCACCACACTGAATGAAGACATTTTAAAAGATGTGACTAACAAAAAAGTGACTAACTCCCCATTTATGAACATACTACCCACACTGAATTTCAGAAGTGGCTAAGCAGCTAATTCCCTTGGCAATTTACCCTCTTGGAAATATCATTAAATAACTAAATAGGTTTGCTGATAACAACTGAGGCTCCATTGCAAGTCAATCAATGAGATTAATCTTCCCTGAAGTGAGTAAATTAAATGAGTAGGTTTTAATTCAACACCCTGAGCTTCCTCTATAGTCAGTGGAGTCTTGTCTTCTACACTTGGTTTAGGTGACCCCTAAATCAGCTGCGTGGAGAACTTTTCCTGAAGTGTCTAACCTCAACCTTGCATTGTCTTAGTAATGTCAGGGTGGAGGATTCAATATTACAACACCGAGAAGAATTATGCCCGAGAATGTGGCTCTATGCTGCTTTTGAAATTTCTACCTCCAATTGCTTGCCCACCCAACGGCCTTTCAGTATGAACTTAAGAGGTCCCAAATGTGACCCCTGTGAGAGGAGCCCTGTTATCTGGTTCTACAACATCTACAACAGCAATGTCTGAACTCTTGGAAACCGTCTTTCTGGACAGTGAAATCACCAAGCACAAAGGCACCAACGTCGTACTGCCTCCACAGTGATGTATTCAATATAACTTCAAGTAAGTTCTACCTGTGCATATACAAAATCCATGGTGGAACCATCTCGCTCACCCTTCACTACTCCGCTCTGGGTTGCTTATCCAGCCAAAGACAACTTCCAGCAATCACAGTGCAATCACATGACTGCCATGTCATCCCACCAATAGTAAACAACAATATTAATAAAAAAACCTCACAAGCTCTTTGTGATTTTCCTTCTCCCTTCCAAACTATGCTTTTATACAACTTTACTTAAGAATCCTGAGTTGGAAGCCAGAGAAATAGCACTTTCCAACCTCAAAGCAACCACAGAACACTTAATGAATGTATTACCATCTGTCAAATGCACAGGGTGAGGTTCAATTTAGCTGATGATACCTAATTCACAATGACGCTCTGTTTTCAGCAAAAGGTTACTTGATGTTGAACAATGAGATTAACAAATCCTGACATGCATAGAAATACAAATAATGTAACAAA